CCACTGCTGACCCGGGACGGATCCAGCTGCGGGGGTGAGGCAGGCTGCTGCCCATCAGGGGCACCGAGGGCGCGGTGGCCCAGAGTGCGTCCTGGCCCAGGGGCTTCCAAACATTTTTTCACTGAAACACATGTTCATAAATTTTATTTACAGGAAAGACCACTGCACTCATACGTATGTCTGAAATAAGGGTTTCAAGGAACAATTTTTAAAAATATATTTGATTAATTCTGTGACTTTTCTACCCAACCCTAGACTATTCTATTTCATTAAAAAAAAAAAATGCATGTTCAGATCTACCAGTGACATCACACCCCTTAGAGTTCCAGGATCTGCAGCTTGGAAACACTGACCAGGAGCAGCGCTTGGCAAAGTGCGGTGATGCACAGACCACCCAGGTGGGATTCACTGGTGGTGCTGGTTCAAGGTGTCCATTCCCGGGATGCATGAGAGAACTATTGAACCTACTGGAAATGGTGCGTGGATCTTTGTGTTTTGATTGAATCTCCAGGTCAGCGATGCTCAACCTTTTCCATCTCATGCACACATAAATGAATTACTAAAATTCTGCGGCACATGAAAAAATATATTCTATTTTTTGCTCATCTGACAAGCCCAGTGGAGGAATTAGCAAAGGGAATATTGTTGGGTATGAACGTGGCAGCTGAGTGCCCAACTCAGTGGTGTTTCCGTGGGAGTCATTAAATCACTGAGCCCCCCTGCTCCTCTCCCTCCCTCCCTCATCTCCTCCCTGCCCCTTTCACGTGTACATGCAGAGGCCCAGGGCATGTCTGGGACACAGCCTTTCTCTAGACGGAGCGCCCCTGGCTTAGGGAGAAAGCACTTCTCACCAAAGTCGCGTGGCCTGCAACCTGCTGAGAAACAGAACTTCAATAAAAGGCCAGCAGTGGGAAAACCAGGGCTCTGTGGCGACTGTCAGAGTAGATTTATATGTGCAACTTGGGTTTATGTGACAGGTACTTGGCCCCATGCAATTACTTCAGCCTACATCTCTGAGATCCACAGCTCACTTAGAGGTAGCACAGTGACAGCGCTTGATATTCATCAGTTTAATTTCTTCAGAATTATGATGTAGTCACCTTGGAAAAGGCAGACTCAGGCGTCGGGTCACCATGGCTTTCCGCTTATCCCAAAGTGTCCCTGCCATGTGCACTAGTCCCTCAAGTCCAGGCAAAAGGAATTTTATTGGATGTGAGTGTGGAAATACAATGAACATTCTTCTGATAGTGTTGGAATTCCAGTGGGAGTTAAATAGTTTCCAAGTCATTATTGCACATAAGTACACACATGTGCAAACACACATACACACACACACAAACACACAAGCACATTTCTATGCTTTAAAATTGTTGAGGGCCCCAGAATACATAAGTCTATTCTGTGATTCTCTGCGTTTTGAGGAAATATATCAATAGAAATATTTAATATTACATGATCATTCATTCTTTTTTAAAATTGCTGACAGTATTACAGATGTCGCCCATGTTTGCCTCCTTTCCCCCGCTCCACCCAGCCCGGCCCCTCCAGGCCTTTATCACACCATTGTCTGTGTCCATGGGCTATGCTTATTTGCATATATATTCTTTGGTTAATCTCTTCCCGTCCCCCTTCATGTGGGCAACATGCCCAAAGATGTAAATATTGGTTATTTGGGGGCCAAAAAAATCTTAGATATTACAATGATGTGTGGCCCTTCACAGAGCCTCAGTGCTTGAAAAGATGTACAGTGTATCTTTGGTATTGCATTTTCTTGTGGGGGTGTTACATATCTAAAAAGTTTTAGAGCCTGGCCGGGGTGGCTCAGCGGTTGAGCGTCTACCTAGGACCCAGGCGATCGGGGTTCGATTCCCGGTCAGGGCACATGCCTGGGTTGTGGGCCCGATTCCCAGGAGGGAGCTGATCAATGACTCTCTCATCACTGATGTTTCTCTCTCTCTCCCTCTCCCTTCCTCTCTCTGAAATCAATAAAGATATATTAAAAAAAAAAACAGCCCAGTTGGGCGTGGCTCAGCGGTTGAGCATCGACCTAGGAGATCGGGGTTCGATTCCTGGTCAGGGCACATGCCCGGGTTGCGGGCTCGATCCCCAGTCGGGGGTGGGCAGGAGGCGGCCGATCAATGACTCTCATCATTGATGTTTCTCTCTCTCCCTCTCCCTTCCTCTCTCTGAAATCAATAAAGATATATTTAAAATATATATATATATTCCTGGAAATAACTGTCATTAGAGAAAGCATGTGCGTGTATGAAATAAGTTCCTCTATATCCTGTCTACGTGCACATTTAGGGATAGCGGGACAGATAATAGGGAATATTGACTGTATGCCCGATTAATGCCGGGAGTGGTGCTCACCAACGCAACTATCATCCTCTCAACTTTTATCATGTTTCATTCTCATGCCAACCTTATTAGTAAGCAAATTGTTCCCATATTACAGGCTGTGAAAGTGAGGCATGTTGGCTTGAGAGTCGCGGCTTACACTAAAATAACATTTGGTTTATTGAGTTCAGTCTTATACCCCATACTTCTCCCAGCCACAAGCCTATAGTCATGTTGTTCAATCTCGCCTCTTCCTTCTGGCCTTACAGTCCTTCTTCTGGAATTAAGGGCTATGAGGATGTACAGAAGTGACTGGAGAGAGCTCGCTGTCTCCTACCCTCCGGCTAGCAGTCTGAGAAAACCAAATCATAAAATCAAATCCTAAAACCAAATCCTAAAACCAAATCAGAGTGAGGTCCAGCCTCAGCCCGACTGCTCACCCCAGCTTACTACTCTCAGAAGGCCCAAGTCTCCCCTTCAGCCTCTTCATGGCGGACTTCATCTCCTGGTTCCTCAGGGTGTAGATCATGGGGTTCAGCATGGGCGTGATGACCGTGTTGTTGACGGACACAGCCGTGTCCATGGGCAGCGTGACAAAGGGCCGGCAGTAAATGTAAACCGACGGCACAAAGTGAAGGGTCAGCACCAGGACGTGGGCGGTGCAGGTGGAGAGGGCCTTCCTCCGGCCCTCCCCAGAGCGGGCCCTGAGCCTCACCAGGATGACAGTGTAGGACCCCAGGAGCAGGAGGAACCACAGCAGGGTCACCAGCCCATTGTTGGAGATCATGAGAAGCTGCAGAGCGAAGGTGTCCGCGCAGGCCAGCTTAACCACCTGGGGCACGTCGCAGTAGAAGGCGTCCAGGGTGTTGGGGCCGCAGAAGGGGAGTGGAAGCAGCAGAATGATCTGGACAATTGAATGCAGGCCACCACCCAGCCAGGAAGCGACCACCAAGGCCACCCACACCTCCCTCTTCATAAGGGTCACGTAATGCAAGGGTTTGGCGATTGCAAGGTATCTGTCATAGGCCATCACGGAGAGGAAAAAAATATCTGCCCCACCAACAAAGTGGAACAGGAAGATTTGTGCCATGCAGCCATCGTAAGAGATGGCTTTCCTCTCTGATAAGAGATCCATCAGCAACTTGGGAACGGTGACCGATGAAAAAACAATGTCTAGGACCGATTTGTTCCGTAGGAGAAAGTACATGGGAATGTGGAGGTGGGAGTCCCAGGTGACGGTCACCACGATGAGGGCATTGCCCAGCACGGTTGCCACGTACACAGCAAGGAAGGGCACAAACAAGAAAAACTCCAGCTCTGGGAAGCGAGTGAGCTCCAGGAAGACAAATTCCCTCACGTTGGTGTGGTTGCTCTGACCCATGACAGGGACCCCTTCTCCGGGTCCACGCTGGGGGAAGATCTGTGAGGATCAGGAGTGTGGTACCATGAGGCCGCGACACCATTTATCACATATCGTTACAAGGCTCTTTCAGGCCTCCCAATGACCATGGCCAATGACCATGGCCACTCAGGGAAATTCTTTACCCTGATGGGTCTTCTGTCCTACTGTAAGTACCATAGGTTGACAGGGAGAACCACCATGTCACCTTTCTCTGGTCAGATGTCCTTACTCTGACCAGAGAAAGGTGAGAGGACAAAGGTCATTTGACTCTGGCTTGTCTTATGTGCTGTAAAAACAACTTCCTCACATGTATGCAGAGCTTTCTACTTTACCAAAGGTTTTCACATCTCACCTGGATATTGGTTCTTCTAATGTCTCTGTGGGGTCTATAGAGTGGTGATGGGAAAACTGGAGCTTAGAGCAGTTAATGACTTGCCCATATTTGCATAATTGCAAAGTTAATAAGTGGTAAATCAAGGATTTGAACTCAAATAATTTTTCTGATTTTTCAAAGACTCCCTTCCTGACCGGGTTTTTGTTAGGCTCCCCTGAGCTCTCCTCTCAACTAGAACTCTACCTTGGCCTTCCACGTCTTTTCTTGTTGAGCCCAATTTTAGCAAGAATTCTGCTAAATCAGTTTGGCAAGAAGCCCCTACCCTTGATATCTAATCAAATTTCTCACCCCACACCCTTGATATCTAACTCCTCGTATCTAAATCCTTGGCTTGTCTTTAGCAAGGACCTTATTACGCTATTTTAGCAAGAATCCCTCTGTCACTGAAGTCTTTTCTTAGATTCCACCCGCCGATCCCCTCGCTCTGTTCATTGGCTATAAATTCCTACTTGTCCTTGTTGTATTTCGAGTTGAGCCTATTCCCTCCCTTCTGTTGCGACAGTCTTCCCCCCTATCGCAATAGTCTTGAATGAAACCTCTCTTATCGTTTTAGGCAAGTGCCTGGTGAACACTTAAAAACAATTCTCCCCTCCCCCCATACCTCTCTGCCAGATCAGAGGGTCTGGGGCTTACTTTGGTTTCTCAGAATTACAGTGGGTAAATAAGGCTTAAATAGTTAACTGAGTAATCTGATTATTTTATCTTCCTCTTGCCCTTTAAGCAAATTTCAAGTACACACTATTGTCACCTAGAGTCGCATTTACTCATCCTGAATAACTGACTCTTTGTGCCCCTTGACGAGCATCTCAGTCCCCTCTCCTCCCAGGCCCTGGCCATCACCACTCCACACTCAGCTCCTGTGGGTGAAGGACATTGTGCCTAGTGAAACAAGCCAGATGCAGAAAGACCAACACTGCATGATCTCACTTGCAAGCGGAACCTAAAATAGTTGAACTCACAGAAATATAGAAAATTGAACCAGGTTTATCGACTCACATTCCCGGGATTTTCTACTAGTTCTATATTATAGCAAACTAGGCTTTTTTTCAAATCAGGCATCCAGCCATCAGAGAACAAAACTCTTCAATACGAACGTCCATAGGTCCAAGGACTCTCATATTCAGATAATGTAAAAAAAATTCAGATAGGGGAGACGGCCAAAATCCAGTTCAACAACAGAAAGTAAGCAGACAATCCCGGCATTTGAAACAATGGAATTATATCTGAAGATGAGAGCATAAGAAAGGAGAGAGTCGACTAGATGAAAAATACGGAACGCTTTTTTCCCCCCTGAAATAAAAGCATAATAAACCACCCTGCAAAAAAACCTATTCATTACTGTTTCTTTTTCCAGTTCTGTTACAGTTGGGTGTATTTTGTGGTTTAATTAGAGGGGTTAGGACATACAGAAAGCCCCTTCCATAAAAATCTTCCCTGTTGATTTTCCTAGATCTTTGATTTTTCTCACCAACAGAGTCATTTAATTCCTCTGAAGGGTGAATTTCCTTTTTCAGGGTGTTCTGAATCTGGCCCAGTAGGAGCCGTATTTGAAGATCCCAGCGTCCAGTAACGCGTTACCTAGAGCCGAAGCTCTGGGGTTTTACTGCCACCTGCAAACGGCAGGAAGCCAAGCGAATGCCACAGGAAATTTGGGATTATGTTTTTGCCCCTGATGCAGGGTGTCTACAAAGAAGAGCCCACCTTAGGACTGTCCTGAGGACAGGATCCCTTCATGCCCCCGTCTGAGACCCCAAGGGAATCATTTGTCCTGGGCCCAAGCAGAAGGGCCAGCTCCCGGGTGAACCAGCAGGATTCTCCCCTTAGGCCGTGAGCACGACGTACTGGGGCATTTTTCTCTGTCTTCCTTACACGTAAAAACGTGTGTGAGGCTTAATTCCCTGCTGCATGTTTTTTCGGGTATGGCCTCTGAGCAGCTCCTTCCTCGCATTTACCTCTCTAGTGTCTGTGTGTTGTGGTTGCCGTAAGAGCTCCCTAACCTGCCGCAGAACGCGAGGGGGATGCCTTGATTCCTAAGGTAGGGGCTGGTTTTCGTAGGCATGTGGCGATCGGGCGGGTGCGGAACAAGCCTTGGCCACGAAGGCTCGGTTGGAATGGGCACTGCCGGGAGGCACAGCAGCCTTAGGAGGCGGGGGTTGACATGGCAACATGGAAACTGGGGGCGAGTGGGTGGCATCGGGGGTCAGGCTTGTAGAAAGTGCAGGAGGTGAGGGCCACGAAAGCCGGACACCGCCCTCTTCAGTTTGCCTGGCTGGGTCCTAAGTACTGTTTTCAAATGATGCCGCACCCCGCATTTTGTAAAAGCATTTTTGTTTGCATCTGTGAGCCCAGACATAGACCTACTGGGTGAAATGTTGCTAATTTTCTAATTGTAACTGGTGATTGAGGCATCCGGAGGGCTGGGACCAGCCGAGCCAGACCTCTGGAGGTGGAAGCTGCTTACCGCCGGCCTCTCTTCTGAAGTCCTGTGGTTTCCCCAGATCCTCTGGCCCATCACCCTGGAGGTTTTAGACCGCCAGGCACAATGTCAGGTCTGTCTTGTAACTTTAAGGTTGCATTTTGGAAACTAGAGGCAGCTTGTTGAGAAGAACACAGCCTTTGACTTCAGGTTCAAGTGCTTCGGTTTGGCTGTGTGACCCTGAGCAGCTCAACCTTCACGCGTGGGGGGGCATAAGGCTTGCTCCCCGGCGAGGCCTCCTTGTGAGGACCTCGATTTCTTCTACTGCCCATCATTAGGTGTCTATTTGTGTCTGCTCCTTCCTCCAAATGTGAACTCCTTGGAGGCAGGGACTTCTGTTTTGTCAAGATTATATCCGCAGCTCCTACCCAGCACATAGTTTTTCAATAATTCTTTTTGAAAAGATGAATGAATGAATGAATGAATGAATGAATGAACGAATGGGTGACCAGGGCCTGACATGCAGTATTCACCCAACAAGGACCTCTTCTCCTTTATTCCATCTCCGGCCTCATCCTAACCTTTCCCCCCTTGCCCCCTTGCTCACTTCTGTTGCTGCGTAAGTCAATTCATATTAGAGCACATTGTAAACTTCAAAGCATTATCCCTATGCACGGTGTTAATACCACCACAATGCTAATGTCATTGATATAATTGTGTGTCTCTCTTCGCTCTGAGCTAGCTTGTTTTGTTTATTGTGATTTGTTTTTTTACAGAAAGAGACTGCGACAGTTATTTTCTTACACATTGTAAGTGCTCAAAGTTTATGAAATGAGTTTTAATACAATAAAAATCACATTCTAACTTGAAGGTGCCTTGAGAAGCCTAATATTTTACATGAGAGCCTTCTGATTTTAATTAGCCTAAGGCTTTTCGTTCTAAGTGACATATATATTAAGAACTGCACATGGATATTTTACCTTTCAGAGGCTGAAGACTGAACACTATAGAAATTATAAAATTCTGTGTGTGTCTCCAGGATGCCCTCACCTACCTTTGGGTTAGAAAGGTGAGCCTGCGGGGTTCCCCATCTTCAGGGCTCTGTTCTTTACCCGGGCACATGCACTGTCCACTGCTCTCTTAGACACTGAACTGGAAGTCTAAGAATATAATAATTAGCATGGGGAATAGTGTCAGATATTTGCAGAAAAAAATAATTTTCAAAGAAGATGGCAGCTGCCGATGCCATGGGAGTTATTAAAAAGTTGCTGAGCAGCGTATGTAAATATTGGGAGTTTCCCATCTATCTTCCTGTTATTGCTCTTTATTCCACTGTGGTCTGGGAGCACCCTTTGTGTAACTGGGAAGGTGTGTTTCATGGCCCGAATGTGGTCCACCTTGGTGAACGTTCCATGTGAGCTTGAGAAGAATATGCTTTCTGCTGTTGGATAAAATATTTTCTAAATATCAGTTAGATTGATTCGTGTTGCTGTTCAATTCAGTTGCACCCTTATGGATTTTCTGCCTATTGGATCTGTCAATTATGATTGAGGGGTGTCAAAGTCGCCAACTATACTAGTGATTTGACCATTTCTCCTTGTATTTCTATAAGTTTTTGCCTTGCTTATTTTGACACTCCCTTCTTAAGTGCACACACATTAAGGATTGTCCCGTATTCTCTGAGAATTGACCCTTTCCTTATTATCATTATAAAGACCCTCTGTTTACCTCTGATAATTTCCTTTGTCCTGAAGTCTGCTTTATCTCAAATTAGTCTATCTATTCCAGCTTTCATTCTGGTTTATCTTCCTCCATTGCATTACTTTTAATCTCTGTGTGTCTTTATATTTAAATTGGGTTTCTTTTTCTATAGAAACTATTTGTTTTCTAAACAAATAATAATTGGATCTTTAAAAAACTCCACTTTGTAGTCTCTGTGTTTTAATTGGTGTGTTTAGACCCTTTGCATGATCAGGTGGCTTCAAAAGTCAACCAAGGGACTCTAGTTCATCATTCCTTTATTTTACCCTTCAAAATTCAGTTTAGGGAAGAGCCTTGAGAAGAACAATCAGAATTTAAGGGTAAAATTTCTTAGGACCATAAATTTAATTTTCTACTTCATAAGTGGACACTAGAAGAAAAGGAGCAGAAATATACTGCCCTGAATGT